GAATATAAATCAATTTATACTCTTTTAGTTCATAATAGAAACTAAATAAATTTGGCTCTAAAGTGTACCCCTCATTTTTCTCACTGTTCAAAACCCACATTCTCAATCCCAATGCCAATAAGCATGATCATGGTGATGATCTTCCACACAAATTGCCAAACAGCTGGCCAGAGGCAGGAAACCTTTGCATAATCTAGGCTTATAATTCAATTAATGCCTCGGATCGCTCGACTGCCATCGCCGCGATTCGTTTTTCATTTTCGAATCTCGATTTTCGATGCACTTAGCTCTCGAACCTGAAGTGCAACACTAGAATCCAGCCACATGACTGGCACCTCAAGTGCCCGCATCCATGGGATGGGGTTGGATCTGGAGATCTTGCTATGGGGATATGGCTATGACGGTAATGCGGACCTGGGAGTCGATGATCAGGCGCAAAAGTCGTCGTCACACTGTCTGCGGCAGATGCTTTAAATGATCGCTCAATGGGTTGAGAACAGCCACCAGTCACTAGCCACCACCGGCCACAGGTTGATGATCGAGCACCCGGGGGCTGCACACCGGAAATCGATTTCGAGTGTTGCCCAAAGAGATCGTTTGGCATTAGCAAACGCTGAGCCACAAATTAAGATATTAACGAAGCGATTTCCTTTTGTGGGTTTTAGCTGCCTGAATGTTTACAAAAGTGATAGAATCAAATGGGAAAATATTTTAAAATTTAGAAAAAATTATTAATTTCTTTTGAAGGTATGATCATTCTTAGCGGTTCCTTTTTATATTCTATGCTAGTTAAAATATTTGCATAAAATTGGGGGGTTATTCAACATTTTTTAAAATATTTTTAAGCTGAAATATAGATCATATATCTTGAAAATTAATTCGACAACCCCTCTTAATTCGAGAATCTTGCCTTAAAATTTGTATATTCCTGCAGGGTATAATTAACTCTAATCCAAAGTGTAAAACGAAGTGAAGGAATCATTTGCGACCCTTTAACTCTAATATAATATTAATCAGCATTAAAAACTGAATCGATCTAGCATAGTCCGGGTTAAAAACAAAATTTTCAAATATTGATATAGGGTTACATCTTTGAATTTTTTAAAACTTAGTATGCAGACTTGTTACCGCTATAAAAACTGAAACTGAAGCGCTTTTCGAATTCAAATGAATCCATTTTTGGCTTAGTTATGATAGATTCAATATTCCATGATCCTATGGTTAATTGCAAGGGTATAGAAACTTCGGCTCCTTTCCTGTTTAATATTAGTTCCCTAACATCAAACGTTTTCATAAGCCCCCCATTACCATTCCCCAAATAAATTCGCACAAGTTTTGTTTTTGTTTTGAAAAAGTTTCCTTCTTTAATTTTCTTATATTTTTTCGTTTTAATTGATTTCGGTTCATTTTTAATTGTATTTTTATAATTTGTGTTAACTAAAGTTAGTTTTTTTTTGTTAGCTGTGTAATTTCCTTCATTTACGATTCTTTATCTTGCGTTGCTTATCAATTTCGGCTATAATTACTATTTACAAATGCCTGGGCCAGCTATGTGTGTGTTTAGGTTACGACTATTTTATATCGATTTTATACATTTAAAAAACAAGAAAATAAACAATAACAACGTTTCGCATGGTATAGGTAGGTATAAGACAATGATTGGTTAGGCGTACACATAAATATATTACAGGAGCCTTGGCAAGCAGTTATCCCATCTTCGAAATGAATGGGTTCTTGGTAAACACTTAACGATTACTAAACATTAAACTAAATTAAATTTAAATTTCATTTAAATTAAATTAACTAAGCTCTGCAGCTTCTAAGCTGCACTACAATGCAGGAATGTATCTTGTTTTGTTGTTTTCGATGAGATAATGATGATGTTGCTGATGATGGAATGGATGGATCTCTTGTGGTTTACAGAATTACAGATGTGCTCAAAGCCTGATAAACTGGGACTGGCTGCTTTGTATGGTGGATCGCTTGTGAGTGTTTCTTCTGTTTCGTGGACGATTTACACAAAAATTTTGACTAGGAAAGGACGTTTCTTGGGTGTGGAGGCCAGCTAGCGATGGGCACGAGCTGGCGAGGATTGCTCTAGTCACACCTCACTGGGCATGCAATGCACACTCGAGTCCTGCGACAATTCATCCATGGAGGATTCTAAATGAGAGAAGGATATAGATAATTAGTTGAAGATAGTTGGGGTGTAGCTAGATTATTTTTAAGTATTTTTTGTAGGTAACTTTCTTAACAATGTGTAGAGATGTTTGTATACCAAAAGGGTTCAAAGAGTCTCTATAATTTCCACAACTTATTAGATTATAATTTCTTATAGTTAATTCCTTACCATGTGTCGGGTATAGACCCGCTTTAGAGCCGTTCATATGCATTGGATTCTGTGCGTTATTCTGAAATGAATACGTTAACTGCAGGTTAATATGACGCGCAAATGAGCTTCCTTCCGGTTCGCGTACTGCAATCAAAAATCGTTTGTTGAAAGTAGAAAAAAAAAACAGAAGAAATTGTAAATACTGTGTTAGCATCTTATTCTCTGTGTGTGTTTGAGAGGGGGTTTCTTTTTTTTTTGTGTGTACAGGATAGCTGGATTCTACGGGGGGAATCGGGGTATATCTCTCTCTAAGGGAAGGCATGCTGCACTAATCCACTACTTACTTTTATTCTTACCAGCATGTATGTGTTTTTTCTGACGCGCCCGGGAATTCTGGAACCAAACTTGCGTCACACGCTTGCTGAGACCGGTCACCGAGGCGATCCTCTCCAGATCCTGGCCATCCGGATTACTGTCAATCTGAAAGTTGGCCTGCAGCACTTGCAACTGCTCCTCGGTGAAGGTGGTACGCACCCGTTTCGTCTTGCTCTTGTGATAACCATCGCCATCACAGCCATCTGGAATTGAAATCGAAATCGGTATATAAATATGTGAAAAGGACGTGTGAGGATTGGAAATTTAATCGCTATATATAAAGGCACTTGGAAAAATAATATAAATTAATTTCCTCCTTAAAAAATCAATGTAGTTATAAGGTATATTGATATCATTTCCTAGTCTTTTATTTATATACTTTCGCAAATAAAATGCAAACTAAAAGTTCCTCATCTCTAACTATTAAATCTTTCATAAATAATATCTAGTTATAATGGCAAGTGTAATAGGCATTATTTTTGCTATTTTACCCCCTCATAAACCAACTTCGCAAAGGGCCTTAAGGTCTCTCATCTCTCGTTGAGTTGAAGCTGGACTTGGCTCTAAAAGCATTTTGACAGTCGGCCAAATTGAAAATGTCAAAAAGTGTTTATGGTTTATAGAGCTGCTGCTGCTGCCGTGCTTTATGTGGCCACCGTGCAAACCCGGTGGTCTCTTCCTCCTTTAGAGTCTTTGGAATGGGGGAAAACCATGGTCTACGACATCTACAAGCCGATCACGTCGTCTCAGAAAATGCTGGAGTGGTTTTTTGTTTTTTATTTTTTACGAGTGTGACACGATTTCGTCAGCAGTTGCGACGGCGACTGGCTGGCGCTTAGTGATTCGCAGCTTCACTGTACCGAGTCTTGGCACAGTGAAGCGTTCCAAATTGGCAAACCCTTCTGCCACCGAAGCATGCAGCCATGTTTCCAACTTGTTTTCACTGTTTATGTTTTATGTTGAAACAAAAAACAAAGGGGGAAAAACACTCACCGTCACTTGATGTGGTGCCACCCTCGACCGTTTCCAGATAATGAGCCTTGCAGAGCACCCGGTCATCCATGAGGGCGAACTGCTCCCCGGTGGACAGCTGGCGTCCACACTGGTCACAGGCGAAGCAGGCCAGGTGGAAGACCAGCTCCCGGGCCCGTCTCACCCAATCGGAGGCGGAGATGCCGCGACAGCACTTGGAGCACTTGGCGCCGAAATTTCTGCAATTAAAAAAGGGGAAAACGGAAATTGCAAATCAGTTTTGGTAATAAAAAGGAAATATATTAAAAAATCATACAAACTAAAGAGCGGGTTTCTCTTAAAAGTAAGAGGAATTTTGTAGAGATTTGTAAAAGAACCAGAAATAAAATATATTTATAGATAACCTACAGATTTCCTTGAATTATTCTCTAATTGAAACTGATCAAATGAAGTTGTCAATTAAAAAATCTTCCTGCAACTCTTAGTATTATTTTGTTGGTACAGAAAAATCCAAATTGAAAATTGAGTGTAGTGAATCATTTGGATACGGTTTTCGATATTTTCCCGTGTGTGTTTTTTTCCGGGACTTTTTTCCAAGCGGAAGTTGTTGCCAACAACGATGCTCCGGGACAAACGTTTTTCCAAATGAGTCGGCAACTTTCGGTGGCTTATTGTTAGCTTTTAAGCTTATTTTTACAACAGATACAACAATGTATGGCCAGGGCATGACTCGGATGTGGGATCTGGACGTGGTCGTGGACCTGGAGCTAGCTGGGATGCGATACGATGCGATACGATGATGTCTCCATCGGGCAGGCAATGCACACTTAAAATTCTTAACTTGAAAAATAAATATTTTTACAGCATCTCACGGCGCGTTTGTTTGTTTATTTTCATTTCGTTGGACGTCGACACCGTTTTTCCTACAACTTCTACTTCTTCAACGTCTCCATACACACATTTTCTCGATTTTGTATCCATCAGATACGAAAGATACTGGCCGCAGTTTGGTTTGCAAGTTGCAAGTTGTCTCGTAAAAGTTTTCATTTCATTTCGTTACGTTTTGGCCGCATCTTTGTCGCTGTTGACTTAATGGATTAAGTCGAATTGTAACAATTAACCAGGCAATGGAAAACTGTGGGAAACTATTCGGAAAACACTTGTGCACATACAAAAGGGAGTTGGTGGAAAATCGATGGGAATTTTCGAAAGTTTAAGGGGGGTTTTTTTTTAATAAAGAAACCTGCCAGCTGTTGGCTTGCTTTTTTACTCGCTTTTAAATTAGACTATATAATCTTTAAGGATGTATTAAATCTTGGGAACCTTTTGTAGTATTTTAAAAAATGTTTATTCTCCGTTGCTTTTTTAAAATCGAAACTAAAATTTTGCTGTTCAAAAGCTTGAGACTGTGACACTCAAGAACATCCAAGACACGGGCACTTGGGCTTCGGGGGATTGAATTCGAAGGATGATACGATGGATGGTCCACTGCAAACTACTCTCATCAATAGAACCAAATTTCCGGTTTGCATTTTGCATTGATTGAATAGGGGCAACATCCGCTTGGTCAGCTCCGAAGTGGCTATATACTGCTCCTGTCGTTCTGGCACCGTGCCATAGCAGGAACAACTATTGGCCTTGACACACTTCTTCAACCTCGGCTTAGTCTTCACATTGTACATCACGCTCTCCTCCCAGTTGAGATTCTGTGCATCAAAGTCTTTCTTCACCCGGTCGAAGATCGGTTTAGCCTGCATCTCGGCCATTCCCAGAAGATATTTACAATTTCCCGATCGTTTCTTGTAAACGTGAATGTACAACTTATCCTCATCCGTAACCGGTGAGTCCAAGGTGAACATTACGCACTTGCCGACCTGGGGCGACGTGGGATTGACGCAGGATCCGTACTCCCGGTCGCAGACACACAGGTAGATGGACGACCTGAAGGTAATCTCAACACAGGTGGGATACTCCTCCGGTGCACATTTATTCTGACGCGTTATTAGCATATCGTCCACCACGAACTCCATCATCCAAAATAAGTTTCCGCGAAAACCCGATTGTTTTTCCGAACCCATCTTAATCCGCGAAGCCCACTCAACACGTTAAAACCTATGGCCGAAATTTTAAAATTTTGAATTTTGAAACTAGAGATTTAAAAAGAAAATAATTTAAAAATTCACTTCATAGCTGTTAGAAGTGAATGTATAATTTAGAAGCCTGACCGAAAGAATGAGAAATGGTTGTTGGAAGGGATTGTGATTGTAACTGATTGTAAGGTCTAAGTCTACTTGGAGAGGTAGAGAATCTATATACTACAGAAAGTTAGTTTCAAAAATTTTAAATCTTAGAAACAATATACATTTTTAAGGCTGTTTTTATAACCTAAATGATTCTTTTTGCTCCTTCGATAATGTAGCTTTTAAGAGTAAGTAATTTAATATATATCTTATATTTATTATGATATTTCTTGTACTCACTTGCTGTAGTCAGCCTTGCAGTACACCTGTCGCTCCCGGATGAAGCAGGATTGCTGACGATCCAGGGGGCACATGCACATGCAACACCGGAGGCAATGGGCATGCCAGGAGCAGCCGCCAACCTCCAGGAAAAACCTATCCGAGATTGGTTCCCCACACGCTGCGCAGGAACGCAGCTCAGTCTGGAAAAGGGAAAATAAAGAATATAAGAAATAAGGTTACAGGATAGGAGAAAGGTTTTCCTTACAAATAAGTGTTTTTCTATATTTATATATATTATATTTAATTTTCTAACCCCTGTTAGCTTATGTCTTATCAGGTATTGTAGATAAATCTATACTTATATAAACATTAATCTTAAAATGCTTCTAGTATGCTAATTTCAAAGCTTTTTCTTTATCTTTGGTGGCCTGAGAACCGGATCGATTGGCTATTTTTTCTATGGTAAATCGATCTGATCTGAAATCGTAGCGCCCGTCGGATTTGTTTCTTCTTTTGTTGTGCCTTCAAATGAAATCGTTCAATAAATCTGGCAAATGTCCCGGCGGCTTCTGTTTTATTTCGCGGCTGCAGCATTTAACTTATGTATATTAAACAAAATTTCAATAGCAACAAAAGATGGGACGAGTTTCAGTTTCGCTTTGTTTTGTTTTGTTTAGTTTAGCTTTGATTTTCTTCTTCTTGGTTTTCTGTTTCGCTTTTTTCTTTTTGTAAATTGAACCATAAATTTAAAAATGTTATGCTAATTGTTGTTGGCGATATTATTATTGTGCGACGGCAACTGCTACACTCGGAATCGATCCGAGTTCGATTTTAATTCCAGGTCCCCCCACGAAATGTGAAATTTATTGACCCACCGTCGGATCGATCTAATGAATATTCAATGTCTCGCCTGCATGTTACGCCGTTTTAAATGAGTGTTTCAAACAAATTTTATTGCGTTTCATAAAGTACCGAAAAGAAAAAACACAAAAGATACACCGAAACGAAAAAATAATCCGTGGAGCATTATTCAGATTGTGAGTTTCTTAATTGATTTTTTTTTTGTATGCTTCTTTTAGCAATTATTTTAACAGATGGCAAAAGATACTAATCTACATTAAATGGGGGAATTTCGAGGGTCTGGAGAAAGCAAAAGTAAATAATTTGTAATAATTCGTATTGAAATATAATGATATTAACTTATTTTAACAGAATTACTGTCACTAGGTGCTAAAAATAATATGCAAACACGAGAATAAATCACTTTACGATTTGAGAAAATCTTGTTTTGTATTTAAATATTTAAACTTTGCGTGATGCCCTCATAAAAATCAAATAATTAATTTAAGCCTGCTCTCATAATTTCCCCATTAATGCAGTCTCATTATCCTTCACTTGATGGCGAAACACTTCAATTTTTCGATCTGGTTATCGTTGATTATGATGTGCAAATTCAGTTTGGAAATTTCAATATAAAAAGAATTGACTGCCATACTTGAAACATTTAATTAATGGCCAGCATTTTGTATATATATATTTTCCATTCATTAAAAAATATATACAAAATAAACTGATGGCCACATAAAAATGTTTTTTCCATTAATCAAAAAAATGGCCGAGAAAATAAGTTTAACTTTTGCTGCTGGCAAAACAATTGAAACCGCAAATAATTGTCGCTTAACTTGTAGCAACTTGTTATTAACTTAGCTGACGAATTTCCTTTTTCCTTGCCGCCGCCAGACATTGACAGAAAAAAATAATAAAAATAAATACAAATAAATACATATTTAAACAAAGACTTGGCCGTGACTAGGCCCAGATCAAAGGGCCCGACATTTACGGCTAAAGCAATTAATAAAACAATGCCGAACTCGAAAAAAGAATAAGAGGGTTTAGGTTTAGTTTCAGACACCGAACCTAAGAATGCTCTTGTTAATCAATTATTAGTTATAATTAAAATGGTTGAAAAATATGAACTTTTATATAGGAAAATTTAGAAATTGTTTACCCCAAGGTTAATCAAATATTTATAATATAAAATGCTTGGAAATTATAAATTTTTATATAGGAAAATATAGAAATCGATTACCATAAGGTTTTAGGAATATCTACATATAAGCTCTAAAAAATACTTTAGATGTCTAGAAATAAAACTGAGACCTTTGTATAAATTTACGCAGAAGTCTAATTAAGAATAATCGGACTTTAGACAGTACAAAAACTTTTTTAAATATTTTAAAACAATTTAAGACCTCATATAGCCAACTAAAATACATGAATTTATGTTAAAAGCTCTTCAAAAAATCATAAATACCCCATACACCAATGAAACCTGGATAACCAGCAGCCCTCGGTAATAGATATCTATGAGAATAATTTATGACAGGCCGCAGCAGACTATCAGATACAAATGTATCTTTTTGTCCAAAAGGGGGGTTGACGGGCGTCTGCGGCTGCCCCGAAATTCCAGTGAAATATGCAATATGGCCACCGTCAGTTCCACAGGCGCAACTGGTGAGGATTGTGTGTGTGTGTGTTGCAGATATGGGTGTGCGTGTGTGGCAGATACAACTACACACGGACACACAACACACATCCTAACATGGCCGCGCTGCTCATTTCGTTCAGTTTTTCCTCGCCCATTGCGCGCAGCCGCTGCCGCTGCCATTTAACTTTTCAACTCCGTTGTGTGTGACACGTTTAATAGCAGTCGCAACCCCAACCCCAACCCCCCTTAGCCACCACCTTTCCTGCGCCTACCTTACCTACCTTTTTTCCCTGTCCTGCCCTCCCCTCCCCTCGATTTTCCCTCAACGAGCCTGCGCCTTGCCACGTCCCTCTTGGCCTGTCACTTTCGTTTAACTTTTCACATTGCGCGCCCGAAAAAACACAACCAACAACAAGGACATCATGGGGAGAGGGGGGGGATGTATGGTGTGCAGGGAGGAAGGGAGGGAGGGTCCTGCTGCATTTTGCGGGGTGTTTTCAGCAATTTGTTTTCCCAACGCCCGTTTTAACACACAAAAACGGAGGCTGAGACTTTGACTTGAGTGCACTTCAAAAATTAAATGTTTGAAAATGATTTTAGGAAAGTATTTTCATAAAAGTAATTTAAGAAACTATTACATTTTAAGGTAAATAAAAAGGTGGTTAAGGGAGTTATAAATTAGCTTAGATTAAAATTAAGTAAGCCGAAGTTTCTAGTACCCTTTGAATAGCATCCTGAAAATCAATTATAACTAAACCAAAAATTCATTAATTTTAATTCGGAAAGCTGTGCTAGTTTTTATTGCTAAATTTAACATTTTAATTAATTAATTTTAACATTTGGCCTAGATCAATTCTCCTATTGATGTTGATCAAGAATATATATACTTTAAAGGTTCGGAAATGAATCCTTCACTGCTTTTCAGACTAAAATTATAAGACCCTGTTAGGATATAAAAATAAACAAAGTTGTGTTTTCAGAGCTCTATAATTAATCAAAAATGGTCTCAAACCACTTGATAAACTCTAAAACGGTAGAAAATAGTAATAATTCTTAATAAAATATTAAAAATTTATCAAAATATAACACATATGTATCCATATCTATAACAATTCTTTTATTAAAGTGTACAGCACCCGAAACTGTGAATTGCAGTCCCTCCTTGTCGGCTTGTTGGTTATACACATGCAATTGTCGTTGTTGTTGTCATGTCTATGCCCACTTTTGAAAATATGTCAGTTGTCAGACAGGCAGCCCGAGAGGGGAGGGGGAAAGGACGACCGGGACAGAGCCAGGACAAGAGGGACGTGGGACGTGGGACGAGGGACAGAAGGACACATTTGAAGTGGCATTTTTGGCGAGCATGTCATTTGACTGTAATTTACTCGTGAGTGTCGTGCCGTGAACCAGCCTGCTGCGGTTGAGTATTCAAACCGAGATGCATAAATCTGCCCATGAATTTTAAATGGGTCTCTCTTGTGCACAACGAGGTCTTAGAATCGCTGGAAAGTTGCCATTTCCATTTGAATTTTCAGACAGAAAAGTGTGGAAAATGTTTTTAGTAGGCCAAAACTAGAACGAAGATGAAGTTGATGGCAAGAGACACATTTATTAAGAGGTTAATTGAGTTGGGTTTGGTATTTTTAAATGGAATTTAATATCAATAAAGAAATTAAGTTACATTTTACAGAGTTTAAAGAGATTTATCTTGATAGTCTTTTAGAAACTGCCTGAACCAATCACAAATATTAAAGGTAAAAAAGCAAATACCTTCACATAGAGATCCTAAACTCAGATCCAATAATATAGATATCAAACACGAATATATATGGGGTCTAGACCCTTAACTATAAACAAAAGGTAGCAAAGATTTCCGGAATTGATAGAATATGATGATGAATTCGCCAGATCTCTGCGGGTCGTAGGATGCGATAAAATATATGTAGCTCCCCTTGGTTTATCTGTGGGATCGTGGCTAGTTCTTTGCCAGGTTTTTTCTCTATCTTTTATTGTTATTATTTGCTACGAATACTCAGTGTTATATAAGCACTCCCTATGCCGTCGGCCCTCATAAAATTCCACAGTTTTAAAACTTGCACCTTGCAACTTTTGGCTCGAAATGCCGTAAATAACCCGACTTGGCAGTCGTATAAAAGTGGGAAAAACAAAAGGCCAAGACAGAACTATAAAAGACACTGAAGAGTATGCAATAAAGTTTATAATCCTTCGCCCCCTCCCCCCAACTCCACTGAGAAGGCAAGGTGCCTGCCTTGTGAGATGATAATGGTGTGAGTATTTTTGGGATGAAACGGATCTCA